GGAAGCTCCTCTAGACCCAGAGGACCCCAGAGGCAACAACACTACCTTCCACTCTGCTGAGGCTGGAGAACATCGAGCAGAAGTTGTTTGACTTCACTAGGTGACAGCTGATACAAGTCTTTGGCTGCCTTGTCTCCACCCCGGATCTGTAGCTCATACTCCATAGCATGGATGATCCACCTGAAACAAAGCAGGGGAGCGTGGATCAATAAGGCTTGAAATAAAATCGCCTTGTGCTTCTCTTGGTAGTGCCCTTAACGGTAAGGACCTGTCTAAAGGGGAATGAGGAAAAGGCCACTTGAATTTCCTGAACCGTTGATGTAATTACTTCCATCAAGATTACCTGACATGATCTGACTCTTAAAAATGGGGCCTGTTCTTGCACATGGGGTGGTTAGATTGTAAAATACAGAATAGGTAAGCACTACGGTTCTTACCAAGTGAGATTCTACCATTTCTGTATGACAGCAAACTACACACAAATGGCTGGCACTCTGTTTTTTTTTTTAATACCAGATACGTGCGAAAACCAAACAGGCATAAACAAGTCACTTTAAAAAATGGGCTGCGACGTGCTGTTGTGTAAATGTCTTTCTTTAGGGAGAGGCAATTTTTTCCACTTACGTCCTTTATTTTGAAGTTGTTCCCTTGGGGTGGGAAGGGACAGAGAAGTACTTGCCTTTGACATAAAGGGGCACAATTAGTTATTACTTAATTATACTGGTGCATTAAAGAACATACTTTAACCAACAGATTTCAGAAGAGCCAAAATCCTGAATTATTTCATGTGTAATTAATTTTGTTTTTTAATCTGAGAAGCTTTTAAAAAGCATTTTTGCAGTTTCATCTCATTTCTTTCATTAACTGTATTATGAGGGAAGAATTCAGATAAACTAGTAACAAAGAACAAAGTCAACTCTAGAAATAACACTGTGCCTTAAGGACCCAGAACTCTACACACCATTAGAAAAAGCCAGAGAACTGCTTTCACACAGCAGACTCGTATGCTGTATCCTTAAATTCTTCCTTGAACTATAAATAACAAACAGACACAGTGCAGCTCATCATCTGGAAAGAAAAGTGGCTTCATTCACCCATACTACTTGTCTCCCAAGGGGAGCTGTGTAGCCAGCCCACCGGGGAAATGGCCAGTTATAGTAACAAAGATTTAAAGTGGTGGTCACTGCACCCAGATATATCATAATCTTTCTCTTGATATACTTCCTTGAAAGATAACCTATAAGGCTATTGCAGGCACAGAGATGAAAAAATTAGGTGAATATAATCAAACAGTTTAAAGTTCTTCTTTCTGCCCAGACTGGTGAGCAAAACAACAGCAATGCTTCCTCATGTGATGACTTTAATATACCCCAGTACAAATGATGGCAAAAAAATGTTCAGTTCTCCAGTTGGGCCCGAGGTGGTATCAGTCAGGCAAGTCTCACTGTCTGCTGGGCCAGGCTATGGACCGCAAGGGCAAAAGTCCCTGCTCCGCTACTGTCCCCGTCTCCCTGCCTTCTGCCAAGGCAACTTCCAGCTCCCTAATTCTTCATTTCTAGAACTTGGGAATTTAACTAGTCTGCCATCAGCTGCAGAGTACATGCTGCTAAACTCTGATGGTAGAGTCATGGCAGAAAAACAGAAAGATGGAACACAATTAAAAAAAAAAAATCATTATTATTACTGTCGATACTATGTACGAAATAGTTAATAATTATTCATTGGTAAGAACAATAGAAGTGATGGAGTATTTGCAAACAACAAAGCATTCAGGTATGTGCAGCAGAACATGTAAGAGAATTAAGATTTATCATTTAAATTTCTCTAATCAGATGGAAAGAAAAATTGGACTCAACCTATTTTACTAGCAAAGATTAAGATTTTTTTTACTTGTCCATCCTTATTATTATTGACTGCATTTAATGAAAATCTTATACAAGCATAAAAGCCATAAGGATGTGATTATTTTGGATGCTTTGATGTTAAAGTTGCTTATGTAATTAGCTGTTACAGCAACATTCAGTTATGATACACTGTCTGCTAACAGATCTCTTTAAATTAAAAAAAAACAAATCCATTTTTAAAGTTGTCTTTTATTTCTTTGTATAGTTATTTATTAGGTTACTCTGCATCTAAAATCTATGGTTGAGGCAGCTTAGGAGAACTGAAGGAACACCCAGTTGAGAACCCAGTGACCTGGCTTCTGGTCTCTTCAACAGGTCAGCGGTATGAAAATAAAGTGGGGAGGGTAGGTACTGTTCTAGATCACAAGTGGGCTTAAGTGAGTGAACACCTACTGTCATGTATGGACCTTGTTTGGATCCTCGTGTAAGTCATTTTGGGAACAATCATAGAAATTTGAATAAAAATTGGATACTAGGTGATATTAAGGAATTATTGCTAATTTTCTTTGGTATTTTCAGTGGTATGGTGAGTATACAAACAACCCTTTTTAGAGATGCATACTAACTAACATACTGAGGAGTAAAAGTAAAAATGCCTGGGATTTGCTTTACAGTAACAGCAAAAAAAAAAAAAAAAACCCACAAATATAAACAGCTAACATTGTTTATACCCACTTAAATAATGGATTTATGGGGAATTTACTAAATTATTCTCTAATTATACTTTAAAACTTTTTCATAGCAAAAAGTAAAAACAATAAAGACATTCTTGAATGCCAGTTCTGTTACTTGCGAACTGTTGCCGTACTGGGCAAGTTACTTTTTAAATGAGAATATTACTATTACTTGTTTCGCTGACTTTATAGAATTAATTTGAGGAACAAAATAGTCTATGTAAAAATGCTTTTGGAAGTATAAAGGGTCATAAAAATGTTAGTCAACTCATGTTATGTTAAGTATCAGACTTAGGTTGGAGGAAAGTAATATAAATATTTAATTCAAGTCTTGGAGTTACTTAAGCAATTAACTTCAGGAGCACCTTTTAAAATATGCAACATTTTGTTTTGAAAGGTCTTACTGTTTAAAATCCTCAAATATCCTAAGTTATTAAAAGTAGCACAGCCTACAACATTTACCTTTGAAACCTTCAGTATCACACACAAAGACAGCTGGAGATCTAAAAAGTTTCACCCAGGCTTCTTCCTTCTGTTTACAACATCTCGGTAGTTCCATGATCAAATTACAGAAAACTCTGTACTCAAGAGCCACCAAAGAAAGAAGGTGACTATTTTTCATTTATTTGAGCACAAATGAATATAACTTACTCACTTAATAATTTGTCAGGTTATTAAAGTTCATTTATTTGTTAAAAAATATTTGCCAAAGTAATCTTTTTTAGCTTAGAATTCTTCAAAAGACTCTAAAATAAAAATAGCAAAATAGCCCTAGGCATAAATTACTAAAATAGATCTCAAGACAAAGAAAGTAAATTATCAAGTGAGTAACAAAGTTTAAAAAATAAAGACATTTTATACATTTTTAGAGCTACTAATAACAAAGGGCAGTAATACTTTGCATGGGAAAATCTGACTTCCTACCCTCAGTCCCAGACAAGGTCATAAAACCCGATTTGAGAATTCCAGCATAAAAGCAACTAATGCAAAAGGAGGGAAGAAAGAAAGAGAAGCAAATGTGGAAGGCCGAAAGAATGAAGGTTATCCTTGGACCAAATCCTTGTATATTCAGCCTGTCTAAAGAACCAGGGACATGGTCTCCTTGCCAATGAGCAAAGGAGAAAGTGGGAGACACACACCACTGACCACATCAACCGTCATACACATCAAGGTTTGACTTGAGGACAATGAGTCCCTCAGCACTGCTGGGAGAGTGTAAAGGGGTGGGCTGGTATTCCTGTACGTCCTGAAAATGAGGTTTCCTTCTAAAAACTCTCTTGCTGTGAGGCTTGTAGAGATATTGTGTGTGTACTGGCATTTTTCTTTCCGACATGGCCCAATCTAGGAGTGAAATATGAAATAAAGTACATGGAAATCTGATATTACTGGTAAACCAGAACGGCTGACATTTTCTGAAAAAATGCCATAAAGGACAGCACTGATCCACGGCAAGGAACAATTTTTTAATAATCACTTTGAGACTATTTCCAGATAATAAGGATTTGCTAAGTTTGCAGTTAAACTGACTCTCTGTTTAAGCACAAATGACTGTGCAAGCATTTTACTATATCAGAGACGGAAGCGCTGCAAGAAGGAACTTCTCTATTAGATTCACATTAATACAAAGAGGGTGACGATCTGTTGAGGCAAGCTGAGCCTCTGATTTGGCAACTGGAGAGCAATGACTCATCCATTCTACCCCTGGATCCCATCATAACAGAACAGATGCAGGAGAGTTCTATCATCTCACCTCCTTACCTCACATTCAATGTCAAAAGCAAAGACCATTCTAACGAACCCAGAGCTGCAATTATCTCCTCTTTGTTTTACTGCACAGGCAAGTGTTACAGTCTAGTAGCTATGACACCCACAGCCTTCTCGAAGCACTGGATGTGTGACTCACGGACGCAGCGACGGGCACCAGAGGACAAGGCATACCTGGATCATAAATGCTTACAGAGGATGTCCTGGCAGTATGAAACGCGGAGACGAGAAAGGCCTGATAACACATGATCCTCAGCAGGTTATCTCCCACTGAAGCCTGACTGACAGACCTGGAGCAGAAAGCAGTTGACTGCAGGTCTTCACAGTGATGAGCCTGTCAGGAACGTGATCTATTTCAACATGAAAGCTGGGGCACAAATCAATAAGGAGACAGCAGATAAAATCATTATCAGACTAGAATACCATTCCCGTTAGCAGGTGACTTCTGTTCACTGGAGTGCCCGATGGCAGTGAAATTGGAGACACTGCATCGGCAGGATTAACCTTGGCAAAAAGCAAACGAAACACGGTGGCGCTGGCTTAAAAGCAACTGACGCAGCGGCTGATCTGAACATCTTTTTAGAACAGCTCAGAGAGAAAGGTTCAAGGAGAGAGACCAAAGAACATACCAAAACACCAAACCCACTGCCGTCAAGTCGATTCCGACTCATAGCGACCTCACTGGACAGAGTAGAACTGCCCCATAGGTTTTCCAAGGAGCAGCCGGTAGATTCGAACTGCTGACCTTTTGGTGAGCAGCCGCAGCTCTTAACCACTGCGCCACCAGGGCTCCAAAAGAACACAGAGTGCAGGGTAACTCTGGAGAAGATGTGCACGG